CCCAAATGTTTTGATACAATGTATCTTGTTCTGGACTAAGCTTAACAGTGAATAGACTACGATTTCACTCTTTTAACCCATTGGATCTGGGTACCTTGCAATATGTGTGTGGACCAAAATCCTTTCATTAGGCTCCCATGAATAGTGACTCTCCTTATGTTCTCATCATACACCTCGCACCCAAATTTTCACATGATATTAATGATTATCTTAAATATTGCCAAGATCAAACTTTTCTCAGATAAGTGATAGAAGTTACAAATAAAACTAAATATAAATAGAAGTGGTAAAACCATGATAAAGACATTAGTATATAATACAGGATGATGTTATTACCTTTCTTTGTATTGTATAGCTTGTTACAGTTGTTATTACCTTTGAGAGTAATCTAATAACTAAACCTTGGTTATATACCTGCTGTGTGTATATATAAATGCTAGATAACAAAATTGCATTTCCACTCTCATGAGCAGGCTGTATGTTTGTCCTGACAAAGATAATACCAGATTTCGTGTGCAATTGTAGCTTGTTATGTTAGTGTCCTTTTTGTCAGTGAATCTCTCATGTTTAGATGCAATTGTTTCCTTGTAGTATTATATTGTTGTAAAGGTTGATTTAATTGGGTGTCTTAAAACACATTAAATAATAACTTTCCTTAATGCTTACAAAGCATGATAAATTCTCATCTCTGACTAAGTATTGTCTCTTAGAGATCTGTCATTAAGTAGAGCACTGGGGGACCTATAGAATTTCAGCTGATTTTGATTATATATTTACATGTAATGCACAACTATAGTGGGGTGTGGATTGCCAATTTTCAGCTCATTTGGTGCAAAGACATTATATATTTCTTTTTTTGACAAATCAAATGTGTTAGTTTCAGGCTTATATATTAATAGTTGTGGTTGAACAAAATCAGATTAATCCTTTGTAATGTGTTTGATTCTGGATTATTAAGGTATAACTAACTAAATCCTAAAAGCATTTTACTTTTCTTTGGAATGCATGTTGAGAGGTGTGGGGTCAGATAAAGGAAATAAGAGGTAGTGCTGACTTCCTGTAACTTCTTTTTAAAGTCCCAATAATTGTTTAGAATTAGACAGAACAGAGATGGTCAACATATTCTGTCGAAAGAGCATTTGGTGATAGAAATTTGTAGATGTAGATGTTGAAGATAATTAATAAACTCTCACATGGATAAAGCGGTTCAACTAGATTAATCTGGTAATTTCAAAATGGTAATGTAAATTTCTTTTGTCTTGCAGGAGGGTATTGTGGTGGTCCTAGATGTTGGTCCAGGTGTGCGGGCCAGCACGGAAACAAGCTTCTTCTCACAGGCAAAAAAATGCTTAACAAATATTCTGCAACGGAAGGTAAATTCTGGGAGCACTCTTTATTTATGATAATGAGGAAAATATCATGAGTTGTGTTACTATTGATTTATTATTATCAACTTTTACAGATGTTTGCAGAAAAGTGTAAAGATCAAGTGGGTGTAGTTTTGTTTGGTACAGATGGTACAGACAATAATCTTGCTAGTGGAGACCAGTATCGACATATTACAGGTATGACACAATAACCCTGTTTTATGAAAGCTTACTTTGGTATATAGTGGAAATTGCATGATTTATTTATTTATTTTTTTTCTTTTTTTAATTATTATTATTAATAATAATAAAGGAATGTATATACCTGTTCAGTATAGGACTGCAAGAAGATTCTACTTTAGCAAAAGCCAACAAACCTTGCTCATGTATGTTCAGCAAGATAGACCTTAAACTGGTTCTTTATCTACCAATAAATTGACAGAAAGGCTGACAAGCTCTATCTTTCCAGAATAAATAATGATGAATTTTTTACCTTTGCAAAGTGCAGATGTCCCATCTTTGCTGGATATAACTACATTAGCATAGCTTTGTAAGCATTGTTTCTGTTTTGGTTAATATGTAATATAAATTCTTATTGTTTCCTGGTATCTGCCTTTTAATTCATGATCTTCAGTCCTAAGGGAAATAATGACTGTGGACTGGGACATGATGAATGAGGTAGACCAGCTGCCTTATGGGAAAGCTACAGCAGATTGGCTGGATGCCCTGGTAGTAGCAATGGACCTCTTGCATGATCCTGAGTAAGTCCAAATATCTGCTATAGTTTTCTATTGATAGTGTGTTGATGAAAGATTTGTGCTCATATTTACATACAACTGCTTTTTATATTCCTTATATTGATCTTTGATGGGAATTTTGAATTCTTTGTGGGGGTATTCTTTAAAGTTTGAATACAAGGCATTGGAAAATGTTAGGATAAATATTAAATTTGAATATTTATTATCTCTAGGATCGTTAAATACTTTCTACAATTTGTGTGCCAACATCTTTATAGAACTGTGTTTCATGGTTACTGAATTATTTTTCCTTTTCAGTGGAATGCGATTTAGCAGCAAGAAAATTGTGTTGATGACAGACTTCAGTGGAGAGTTCAGTGATGATCAAGCATCCAAGATCATTGCTGGCCTCACCAACAGTGGCATTGAACTGAGTGTCATGTTAGTTATCATACAGAGTAATCTGTTTATTTATTCTTCATTCATAACCACATGTTTAGATACTTAATTATTTACTTAACTCATTCTAAAGGAATCCTGGGAGAGAGACTATTTTTTTTCAGTTGCTAGGAGCTTAACTTGATGAGGAAGAAAGTGTGATTCAGCTTTCATTCTTTCACTATCACTTGGTGGTGGTTCATCCAATATGAGATTTAAGTAGTCATCTAATTTTCTTTTAACTAACTTCCACTGGATGACATCGAACCACATCATGAGGAATGAGATGTACATGCCAGGGGGCAAGACTCCATGCCATGCATAGACAAGCCTGCTCAAAGGTTTTTGAGCTAAATAGGACTCATTAAGCATGGCCACTTGTTTAGTCTGGACTATTATTAGTTGTTAAATTTTTTTTTTTTGGGGGGGATGAGAGGGGAGTGTAGTGAAATCCAATTTTGAATAGAAAAAACACTTTCATAGTGCACTGAGTGTGTTTACAGTATTCCTCAGTGCACTGTTAACCCCTTTGATCCAAATGATGTGACCATCCCATCATGAAAAAAATTGGCTTGAGGGGTGGGTGACGTGAACATGCTGTCATGGGAAAATCTGGCTGCAGGCCAGGTGACACAAGCTTGCTGTCATGAGTGTTTTGGCTGAAGGCCAGGGTGATGTAGTAGACTTGTCACAAGTCTTGGAGAGTGATTAGACTCATTTGATATATAGAAAGGGGCTTTAGTATTGTTCCCATTGATAAATAAGTGCCAAATGTAATGTTCATGAGCCATGACTGGAAGAGCATCAGCACCAGGAAAGACACCATGTCCATGCTCAGTACTCTATTCATGGTCGCCATGATCAGTGGCGTAGGTTGCATTACTGAAAATTAGGTAAATTTGGAAATGCAACCCCACAGGCTATTTTCCACAAATAAAATAATTTTCAGATAGCTTTCGTCGTGTTTCAAATGAATCTAGCACTCATTTCCTTGACAACCAAAGCACAGCTACAGTATCGTTCCCGATAGTAGGGGAGGGCAAGATACATATTAGGGAAAATCAGGGGGTAATTTCGAGAAATATCGGTAAAACACTATTAATCATAGTATATCTACACATTTCCTGATTGTAAAGGGGGCTCTGTCCCCTTAAACACCCTTTCAAGGGGGGTCTGCCCCCCACCCCTGGCTTAGTCTGCAAAATCACCTCGTATGTTCCGGCAAGAGAGCCCAGACCCAGGAACAGTTCAACTAAGTCTTACCTTATGCACTAACTCCAGACAGGCCAGGTTGCGGGTCACTGGGATCGTTGGGGTCATCCATGTCATTGTTGGCAGGAATTGTGATGGCTATCCACCGTTCCTTTTCGGACAGCAGAGGGTACAGCTTCCTGGCTTTGATGAAGAAGTGGTGGTGGACTACTTCTGGCTTGTATTGGTGCAGAAACAGATACTGAGCCAAGTATTGTTTATAGAATTCTTGTCTATTACCTGGTCTCTTGCTCCACTCTTTAACGTCACGCCAGTACCGCTCAATGTTCTGAGTGTAGATCTCCGGGTTTTCGGGATCCACAAAGTGTTCCGTGTGGTTTATTACTTGGTGTTCATATCGCTAATTGTCCGGTATGCAGTCCATCCGTCACTTACGATGACTGACCTGGGGAGAATATACTTCTTTTTAAGAGGTATGAGGGTTTCAGCATCACGTTTCCTGCTCAGGGGGTCAACAAGGGGGACAAGGAAGAGCTTCTCGATCCCGCCGAACACCCATATCTGGCTCAGCAGCCTTCCCCTCTCATATTTACGCTTGCCTAAGTGTCTCGTCAATTATCACTATAATTCCTGGTCCACCTTTGGGTTTCTGATTGTCTAGCCAGTGCTTTGTAACCTCGGAGCAGAAGTTTCGCCAGTCCACACTCGTGCGCTTGGCAATATGGAGGCACCCCATAATGGTCTGAGGATCCCAGTGTCTGCTTAGCCAGTGATTGATGAAGGAGAGTATTTGATAGGGTTCAAGTCTAGTTCTCCAGAGAAATGTCCCTTTGCAATCACTTACCGTGAAGTTGTTGCACTGTTTTCTCCGTTTAGTCTTTGCGATCTTTGTCCATGCACCACAAACCGACTGGTGTCTGTCTTTTCTATAATGACACAGTGTCTTGCAGTGCGGGCACTGTACTTTCACTGGAAGAACACCATGATCTCGCAGATATTGCAAACTAGCTTTGTTATTGCGATGATATTTTGCGAGAAAGTTGAAATAATTGTTCTCACAACTTGCGCACTGTGTAGCCATGATTAAACTGATTTGAATTTCAACTGATTTCTCCTAGGCCTAGCTTCTATTGTCACATGATGCTCTATTCCATATCTGATTGGTTCTATTGAGTGTCTATGGTCATGTCACGTTCACAAACGAATCTACTTGCCTCATTTGATTTCCCGCGCATACATCATCCGCTACAAATCCGTCCGACTTTTCGTTGCTCTTAACAATTTTTTGTCATTTTGTCACTGCCCTGGAGACGTAAGGTTACTGCGGCTCCTGGAAATCGTGAATTTTATGCCTTCAATAACTCCATTATTATCAATTTGCGAAGAAAATGGTATAGAAGAAAACTATCATAGAATGATGTGTTCTACCACATGGTAAGCTCAGATTCATAATAGGTGTGGGGTTGCATTTCTAATAATACCGAAAATTGAATATTAGAAAAAAGGAAAAAAGAAAGAATACACAAACAGTAAAATGTTACATATTTTTTTTTTACTTGCACTGAGTTATGGACTGCCTAGAGGAATAATATGGATAAAGCAAATCAAATGTCAAATATGGACTTTGGAAAATGGCAAAAAAACAAAAAATGCTTATTCATGAAAAGAGAAATTAACATTGTATAGGGGAGGCATAGACTCTTGTCACTGCTCACGAGTGTTCATGTGCGCCCGGCCCACATAATGTGCATTTGGTAGGGCGGCCACTCATGTAAGCCTAATGCGCATGTGATTGCTGTGAAGCAACTGGATCCAAGGGGTTAAAAGCTTTGACCGATTAATTTTGATATATTTTGCTTTGATTCCCCCTCATCTATGTGTTAGATATATTGTCAAATTTTCAATTATAGTGTAATTTCTTTTTATCTTTACAAAGAGAAAAGACTGACAATAATTTAGACATGCCATGTTCCCAAATTTTTAAACCTGTTGTGATATCTGGTAAGACTTGGCACTACATTCCAGTCTTGGAAACACATTCCTAATTCATGTCACAATCTGATCCACTTCTGTGCTCCTCATGCGATGTTCCTCTTTCAGTTCCCCACATCCTACTATCCTATCCCTGCTTTTACAGCAACTCATACCTCTGCTTTTCCTCACTTGTTCACTCTTCCTCGACCCCTAACCTATTGAACATCCTCTCAGAATCCCCTACATTTTACTTTGACAACTTATTCTTCTTTCTCAGACTTATGAATATCCTCCATTGATGTAATTACCCAACTTCCATAGCTCTCTCCCATTCTAACAACATTTACTTTATACTATATGCCATCAGCTCCCCCTCTGTACCCTTTTCATTACCTCAGTAGCCTCTGTTACTGTTCAACCTCTAACTTTACCCAAATCATTAAATGATTTCTAACCCTTTTCACCACTATACTTTACCACAGTGCTATATGACCTTGATGTCTACAATCTAGCACATTTATTTGTTTTAATAATTAACCATTATTGTAAAGGAAATGTCAATACCCATTCTGCTGTCCTTGCAAATAGATTTGGGGGGGGGGGTCAACCCTTTGTGGGTACATTTACTGTCCACTGTTGTCTTAGTTTTTGGGCAAATTTTGTTACACATAAATGGTCCCACAAGTACTTAGCCACCAGGGTCAATTAGTAACCCAGTGGGACTTCTAAGTATTTAAGATGTTTTTTTTCTATGCTATCAATATTGATATTGTTATTTTTATTATTATTGATGTGATTATTTTTGTTATTCAGGGTAATAGTAATAAGAAGTAAAAGATTACCTTTCCAAAAATGAAGAAGGGTAAACAAGTAAGATAGGTAGGACTAGAAATTAACTCCTGAGTACTTGTGGAGCCATCTATTTGCAAAGACAATCATTAGACTAGAAATACAGTTAACAAGGCATGTATATCATGCCATCCCAACTCATAAGGTAAAGTTAAAAAAAAAAAATAAAAAAAAAATTGTATCATCACATCAGAGGACCAGAGATTGTAGATGAAGACAACAGTGATGATGACATGGATGGACCCGGGAGCTCAAATGGAGCACCAAAGAATGGTAGTACTGGCAATCCAATCAACTGGAATGGAAAACCGAAGACTGCTATTCAGTTAGCAGGTGAAGCCCTGATTACCAGGATTGTCTCAGAGGTAAGACTAGGTGGCTAAATTTTATTCATTTTTATTTGGTTTGATATATAAGTTTTGCTTAATTTTATTATTGTTAATCACCAATGATCATGATTCCTTTTCTTCAGGTGGATGGAATAATTTGCAGTTTTGATGAGGCCATCCCACAGCTCATCTTCTTCCAGAAAAAGTCAGCAGGTAGTGCTAACTGGAACACTGTCCTGGATATTGGTCCTGACTTCCAGATAGCTATTACAGGGAAAATCAAGGTATGATTACATTCCCGAATTGCAGTTGAACAGAGTTTGATGGGCTGCCAGCCACAGAGTGGTTTGATAGAGAGAATGCTCATTTAAATAAGTTCTTCCAGAAAACAAAATTTCTAGCTCAAATTCTGAAAGGGTCTAGCTATCAACTGACTGGTTTAAATAACATTTGAAGAGTTAAGTTTTTAGTTTTGAAATTCTAAACCAAGGAGATGAATATACCTTAGTAGTTTTCAAGGAATGATGCTTCATTACTTGTGCTTTAAAAAACTATACTTATCTAGTTTTACTTTACTAGATACACTAATTAGCAATTAAATTATTTTTATTGAGGTTGAAAATAAATTCTTTGGACTTGGACAAATGAAAATTACACTTTTTATTTTTGCACATAAACAGTCAAATATGCTATTTAAAGAAAATCCCAGTCATGGCAGCAAAAACTAATAAACTCTTTGCATGTGGGTATATCTCTGTCCAGTGTGAGTTTTGTTGCACACATATAGCTCCACAAGTGCTCAGCTATCAAGGAGTCAGTTAGCAGTAAAATGTGACCTCACCAGATTTCCTAATTCCTTTTTTTTCTCCCTAATGCTATGAAAATCTATACTGCTGGTATTATCTACATTATGATTATTATAATATATTGAAATACTAAAGGCAGTATATTTTCATAAATGCAGGAAAATGGTAAACAGGTTAGGATAAACTAAAATCACAGTTGAGTCAGTGTGTATCTTGCCATCCCAGCACAAAAAGATCACTGAAAGGGATATATTTCAATTCTTATTTATTGTAATTTTGAATTTTCTCTTGATGATGAAGCATGGAATTGAACCATTTTATTGTTTTTTTTTTAATTATTATTATTATTATTATTATTATTATTATTATTATTATTATTATTATTATTATTATTATTATTATTATTATTATTATTATTGTTATATGTTGTTATTGTTGTTTGTTGTTATTGTTGTTATTGTTTATTGTTGTTATTGTTGTTATTGTTATTGTTATTGTATTATTATTATTTATTATTATTATTATTATTATTATTATTATTATTATTATTATTATTATTATTATTATTATTATTATTATTATTATTATTATTATTATTATTATTATTATTATTGTTGTTATTATTGTTGTTATTATTGTTGTTATTATGTTGTTATTATTATTATTATTTATTATTATATTGTTGTTGTTATTATTATTATTATTATTATTATTATTATTATTATTATTATTATTATATTATTATTATTATTATTATTATTATTATTATTATTATTATTATTATTATTATTATTATTATTATTATTATTATTATTATTATATTATTTATTATTATTTATTATTTAAGGATTAAAACCTTTTTGACAAATTTTCAAACAAGGCATATTAAAAACCTTATGATCTCATTTAACTAATATTTCTAATATGTTAGTCAAAAAATTACATAAATTAATAGGTAGTAGTGCAGACTTATTCAGTTGACTGGAGAATCCAGATGGTAATAGACTGTTTTCCTTGCATAGACACCATATCATTTCTCAAGTTAGTCCATAACTCAGTGCAGTAATAATGATAAGTGACACTGTTATTTGTAGATTTTTCTTTTAGTTTTTCCTAACTTTCAATTATCTCTAATACAAACTGCAGTGCCTTGGAGCCAATGCTCTTCCAGTCATTGCTCAAGGATGGTACATTCTACATATGTTTATTTATGGAAATTATGAGAAAGTCCCTTCCTAAATGCCCATTGAGTCTAATTACCCTCCAAGAGGTTTGTGCACTATCATGAGCCATGCCCTTCACCCCAATCTTCTGTTGAAATTCTCATAATGGCAAGTTCCCATCACCCTCACCCTCAGTTAGATTTTTCCTTTACAGTATGTTCATGCCACCCAGATCATAGGAGTTAAAAATAAGAAAAAAGAAAGTATGTATATCATTTATCCAATTACATGTGATATTGCATGAAGTACCAGGTATTATTCCAAACTCAGTGAATGAAGTGCAGAATTTGAGTTCTTAGAAAACAATATATGGAAGGTGTCTTTCTGAAAATGAATTACATTTTGGGGAAATATTAAATATTAAAGTTTGCAGATAAGGAAATTGATGAACCATTTAATATGATAAGCCAACAAAACCCAAGTGAACCTTTGAAAATCAATTAGGCTGCTACTAAAAATTTACGCAAACCTTTTATTTCTGTGTGTTTGTGGGGGGGGGGGGGGTGCAGGAGACTTTAGTTTTGGCTTATCCTCAGGTCAAACATTCAACTGTGCCAACTTGGAAGAAAATGCATGCTCATGATGAGACAGCAGCAATAATTAGTGAGACATCTTACCATCGGCATGATGATGCCCAGACAGCCGTTGATGAAGCAGAGGTCATAATGGGTTACAAGTATGGGACAACATTGGTCCCATTTTCAGGTAGGAGATCCTTATTATGTACATGTTAACACAGGGAGCAGGATACATTTTTGAATAATTAATTATCATACCCTTCTCTTTTCCCCATTACATCTCAAACCTCATTTAGAAAAAGATATTAATGTGAGTTTTGCAATATATACAATGCATGTGTGTTGTTGGTTTGCAACCTGGATGACATTTAGAGAGGCCCAGTGTGCAGCATGTCAAGAGTGTCATTCCTGGATGAATGTGATGGGTCTCATTTTCTTTTCAGGTAGGTGCACTTCCATCTTTGCAGCTGTCTGTCTTTAGGAGTAATGTCTGGCATTGTTTTGAAAGAGACCATAAGGGCCTCAATATTTAGATATGTTAGTCAAAATACACATGAGTAGTAGTAATGATAAAATATAAAATGAAGGTATGATTTTGACATAAAAATATATACCTAAAGGCCATTTCCATGCTGAACATACTTCCTTGAGCCAACACTCTTCCAGTAAAGGCTTATGCACATTACATTCTACACTTGTTTATTGATGAGAATAATGCAAAAGCCCCCTTCTAAATGCCAAATGAATCTAATCACACTCCAATAGGTTTGTGCACTTGTGTCGAGTCTTTTCCATCACCCTAGCTTTTGCTCATGACAGCAAGTTCGCATCACAGAGAATGTGACCATTTAGTCCAATGGTGATTGTTCACTTCACCCAGCCCTTGACCTAGATTTCTCCATGATGTGATGGTCACATTACCCGGTTCAATGGGGTTAAAGCACTCAACTGTGCAAGCAATCTATGTGAATAAGAATATTAGGAAGACAAGTTATTCTTGTAGCACTGTGATATAAAGAATGGAAAAATGCTGGCTATATGGATTGAAGGTCAGAACCACCAAAATTCTGATGAGCCTTATAGAAATACAGCATAAGGGAAAAGCACTTAAAAAAATTAAATTTAAGGGGACCGTTCGGGAAAATGGCCACCTTTCCCTACTCTTTACATCATAAAAAAATATCGGTTAGAGATAATTGATTGATTCTTTTTGCATGATATAGAGTATAGAATTGTGCTCCGTTATATATATAAATTTTAACTTTGCTCTCCCATAGGGGGGGGGGCGCCCCCAAAAAAGTCTTTTTTTTTTTTTTTGTCTTCGGTACATCCCAACTATCACAGTTCTTTACTGAATATTCCCCCAAAAATACTTGTGTTAGATCAACCCTAGCCTATAGCCATGTAAAAGGCCGAATTTTGAATTTCCCTTTTTTTTTTTTTTCGGCGGGGGACAGCTTGACATAGAGAACTATTTTTTATTTAATTTTTTTTTCAGCATTAAAATATTATTTTTTGATTAAGGCAAAAATTCAAAAATCGGTCTTTTACATGGCTTTGGGACGCCGAGGCTCTAGTGGAAGCAACAAACTGCATTTGAATCGCATGAAAATTACGTGAGTTGGGATGTACCGAAGATACATAAAAAAAAATAACGGAGCTACGGCGTTTTGTATTTGGCCCCTTGCCAAAGTTCGTTATCTTTGTTATTTTTCTCTGAATCTAATGATATTATATATAAAAAAAATGCTTCTTTAGTGTACTTTGCAATGCAATGATTACCAAGTCAATAGGAATTTTCATTTTCAATAGGGACGCTATTCTGTAAAGGTATGTAATTTTTTTTTTTTTTGTTGTTGTTGTTATTAAAGGTGGTAATTTCTTGTGAAAAGCTTAATAAATGCATTTTACCATAGGGACAACTAATCTAAACCAGATAAAAACCTTTAAAAAAATATATATATATATAATTTTTTTTTTTTTTCATTTTATTTTTTATTATTATTATTTTTTTTTAAGAAATGGGGAGCTGTGGATGGCAACATTAGTACAGAATCATTCTAATTATAAAGTCCTGGCATGAATAGAACATGATGGTTTAATTTTGAGAATTTTAAAATTTAGAATTTAGTACATTGAATTCAAGAACTTACGAAAGTCGTTGAATTTTTCCCATGCCTCACACAGGGGGGGAGGGGGAGATGGTCACTGGGTGTTTATAATTTTCGAGGAGGATCATATGTACGTGAACACACGCACATAAAGTTAAAAAGATTAATCATCATCATTTAGAATATATTAGTTATTCCTCTCATACCATTTTCTTCAATAATTGTCAATATTAACAGATTGCAAAGGAGAACAAGTGTAGAGTTTATGATTAGCCATTTGCACCCATTATCTTTACTAAGAACTGCATAAAATCATGCAGACGCCTAGGTGTTGTGGGATATTAGCCAATTTATGGTGCCTAAGACTTAGGGTAATGTCTAAACATTAATTTTTATCGGGAACGCAAGAAACGGATGCGATAGCTTTTTGTACGGCAGACGAAGACTACGCATACAACCGAGCTAAAAATTCTCTATAGTTTTTATTTCAGAACAGGTATTACTGAGTACTATCATCTTCAACATGAAATAATCTGTATCTCGCTTATACATCCGAAGTTTAAAAATCTGACATTTAGGTAACATTCGTGTTGAATTGGTCTTTACAACGGTAACTACCAATTTCAAATCAATTCAAATTGCCCCCTGCTGTGATGTACCGACCGTTGAGCGAAATGTAACGGAAATATTTCAATTCTTCCTTATAAGGCTATTTTTAAACATTAGTGCTTCGTATGTGATATACATACATATTACCTCGTAAACTAAAACATATTACCAGGGAGTCTCGATCGAAGCATATTTCTTGTGTAAAAGGACACAAAACTTACCTTTTTTTTGGGGGGGGATATATTTCACAAATTATTTCGTCATAGATCACGGTGATATAATTTTTTCATGATATTGGTATAAAAGTGTTCCTTGAACATTCACGAA